CGAGGCGGAGGCGTGGAGGCTGGAGACCTCCCTCCTCTCTCTCTCTCTCTCTCTCTCTCCCTCCATCGACGATACGGGCATGGCTGCAGTTCCTCGTCAATTTCCAATATTCGCCGGAAACACCAGAAAAAGGAAGCACAGATGATGGCTGGATGCATGTCTGGCCTCGCCACCGCTCTCTTTACCCACCCACAGGTACGTACCGCCTTCGCAAACAACCCCCGAGCACCTGCTGTAGCGGTAGGTAGTTCTGTTTCGAGCTAGCTTGAGTGCGCTAGAGGCGGGAAAAAAAAGCCAACAAACCTCCCAATCTGTTTTACGCGCTGCTTCTTCTGGGTAAACCCAGCCCCGGCTCCCTGGAACTGTTGGCCTTACGGCCGGTTCGCTGTCTGTTCATCTCGGACTTCGGCAATTTTCCACCTTCCTTCCACCGGGGGGGCTAGTCCTTACCCTTCCCTTTTTTGAGTCCATCGCGAGGGCCAAGTCGCCAAGAACAACAGGAAACATTCGCCATGATCGACGGTCCAGACTCGGAACCGCAGCCACCATCACTGCCCAAGATCAGCCCTAGAAAGTTGCACTGTGTATCCGTACCATATTGTGTGAAATCCTACAGTGCCAGGTCTCTCAGCACAGCACGTAGTGTGCACACCATCCGCTTTGGGCCACGATATCCCATATCTTTTCTATCTGGTGATCTGATGATCTGGGAAATACGAAGTGCCATTATACAGGTCAGTAGGATATTATGTAAACGTTACGCTGTGGGCCTAACAAGGGAGGGTCTGCCAGGGTATTAGCAAGGGGGTAGGGGTACATATCTCAACGCACAATTTGTAGTAGGAATCAATGTATTGTAACTAACAGCTTGGGACAATTCTAGTGGGTTCGGCAATAGAGGCGCGGGTAGCGGTGCATTAATTTGGCGGGATTTTCTATGGGGAAAAAATGTAGACTGGACGTGACCCAATTAGGAAGAATCTGCGGGTCGTAACGTTTAATATCCTACTGACCCGTAGGTTACCACCGCTAGCGCCACATTCTGGTCCACTGCAACTGCTGCTCAAGGCGACATCCACCCCTGCAACCCCTCGAGCCTGCAGGGGAGAGGGTCTCGGGGTCTTTGCATGGATGAGCCTACCACGATGTCTGCCAGCTTCTCGCAAGGCTGAAAAGCTACCAAGCAAGAGGGCATGGGTCATCGTTTGACTGGGCCGGATGGCGTCCTGGACACTCTCCCATTCGGGAAGAGCTGACACGCGCAGGACCGCCCAAACGCGGAGGAGACTCCCTGATAGGGCATCGCTTGTGCGCCATTTCGGTCGCCAATCTCTCACCTTGGCTCTCTTCCGGGTCCATGGAACGCTCATTGAGTGCCCGACCGTTTTCAAGGCAGCAAGATAGGATGGGCGACCTCATGTGGGCGTCAAGCCATCGTGCCATGTTCATTCCGTGGCCAGAGCCAGCCCGACCGTTCCGCGGGCCCTGGTTACTTTCCCAGTGTTCACAAGTACTAGCGAGACTGCCTGACAAAGACATGACTGGACGGCATTTTCTTGGTCGAATGAGAATAAGGGCCCTCGTAGTCAGTGGCAGCTTGAGCTACTGTAGGGTCTAGAGGTAGGTAGCCATCCGCCGACTATTCCTCGCGTGGGTTTTCTTTTGCCTAGTAATCGTAACCGACTCGTGCTTCTATCGGTCGGGTCGGGTGTTCTTACCCTCCTCCGCATGCAAGCCAGAGAGAGCACGCGCCCGACGGACCTTGTGGCCAGCGACAACGACTTTGGGAGCGTGAGGCTAGACCACGCTCCGCGCTCCGCGCTCCCCGCTCCACGTTCCACGCGACCACGACAGCCACGGCCGTCGGCACGCCCCAACAGACACAGGCACACAGGGCACAACAGCGTGGACAGGCATATCCGTTGGCGTCAACCCCCCTCCCTTGCTCCCGCGCAACCCTGTCCAGCTCAAAAAGCCGGGCTCCATGTCCAAGCGTCAAGCCCAGACCCGGCGCCCAGGCGGAAATCTTGCAAATCACGCCAGACACCCAAGCAAAAAAGCGCAAGCAAAGCCGCTCGCGAAGCTGGACATTTCGTCCATGCACGAGCTCCCAAGTAGGAAAGACGTCGGCGTGTGCGACAGCTGGAGACAGGGTTGGTCCTACCGACTGGGCCAATCATGACAACCGCAGCCTCAGCAGGTGGCAGCTTCTAGGCAGCTTCTAGGCAGCTTATGGACTTAGCGCATATGCACGTGCTGGGGCCCTGCATCGACGGCCGTGAAACAAACAACACATCCACATGTGCGCCCCACATGCCCACTTTCCATTATTTTCAACGACACAAGACGCCTTCGTTTCTGGCCTTCCATGTCCCCTGCATTGCCTTCGCGACGGCGACGACGGCGGGAGAGCATCCCTTCCGCAAACTAAATCCCGAGAAACAAATCCTAGCAAGCCCCGAATGCTATCCGTGTGCAGGAGAGAAGCCCTAGCGACTGCCTCTAAGCCATGCGAAGGAAGGAAGAAGCGAGCAACGAGCCAAAACTCGAACTAGAAAACACTTGACCGTCCCTGCCTTCAGTCTGCGGTTGCGCCTTCTCCGAAAAGAAGAGCTGAGTGCTACTCCTTCACCCTCCTTCACCCTCCTTACTGTCGACTGTCGACTGCCGTGTTGCCTCGGTCTCCCAACTGGGACCGGGGCTGCTTCTTTGCAAAGCTGCGAAGCCTTGTTTCTGGCAGGTTTTGGCAAAACAACCAACCACCTATTAAAAAGGCCCTTTTTCACTGCGACGTCGGCTGTCGCCTCGACGGTGGATGCCACACATACATGATGGCTGCATTCCAACTCTCTTTCTTGTCTTTTTCCCCCACACATAGCACTGGCCACAGCCAATCGAGGCATCGCCGACCCACTCATACACTCTTTTCCCTGCGCTGCTCTCATCTATCATCAGCACAGCCTTGCTGGTAGAATAATGCCAACTTGACAAAGACTCGAGATCTCGGGCCACACACCACCACGAAATAGAAAAAAAACCCGACACCGACTCTTCGGGACGGTGCCATTGGGTCCACATTTCACTGTGGATAAGCCCTCTGGCTGGCTGGTCGCCTTGGTAGTCAGCATGGCTGCATCTTGGGTTAGCCTCAACCCCTTCCCGCCCTGTCGTTGCGACAAGGGTTGACTCCCAAAATCACATCGCACATCCCCTCACCCGTATCTCTGGAAGATGGATGACGGCGACGTTCCATTCGATCCAGACTCGACGGTATCCCCATGCAGCCTGGCCCCACCCCAGCTCGTCTGCTTCCCGGCTACTAGCCCGTTTTATCCTCCCCGCAGTCTAGGCGAACGCAGCCGGACGCATCCGTCGTCGTCTTTGCCGTCCTCTAACCGTGCTCAGCCTCTGTTCCCGTCTGGCTGCTTCCCGTCCCATTGGCTTGGCCCTCACACGGGCGCTCAAAGGCCCGACTGCGCCACAGGCTCAAGCAAGAGGCGATGTGCCTCCCCTCGTCGTGTCTGCATCTGCACAGTTGCCCCTCGTCTTCGTCCATGAAATCTGCCCAGACCCCACATTCCCCTGCCTCCCCATCATGCCACACGAGCCCACTGCGACCGCCACCGGACAGCTGGCCTTTTGCTTGTCGTTTGCGGGCCGCCAAGTGAGGACCCGGTGATGTGGCTCGGTCACTTTTTCAGGTTTAGGATCTGGCGTTGGCGATGCGAGCCATACTTGCGCTCCCATAGGCGGTCCTACGTCCTAGCCGCCGGATATCCTAACATGCTACGAAATAGGTCCATGGTTTCCCTCCACAGACTCGCCTCAAGTGTGGGTAGTAGCAGACAGCTGCTTGCAATAACGAGATATTGAGTACTGGTAATGGCCAGCTTCACAAGCCAAACAATCAGTTCCCCTGAAAGCTCGTTGAATCCAAGTCCATCGGTCAGCAATGTGACTCGGGTGCGGCTAGGGAGACCACCACCTGTCCTCGAGGTCGCCCGAGTCACGCATATCCTTGGCCATCCTACCACCTCATCACGAAGCACTTTTGGGGCCCCTGATACGCCACTTCTTCCACTCATCTCCTAGCTAGGCTAGGCATGGAGTGTCTAGTGGCTGTTCAACGGTGGATCCCTTCGTTCGGCATCCCCCGAGCCCTTGCGCCACGAACATACCTTGTATTCCGTCATCGCTTCCCCGGACCCAGGGAATCGGCACTCCCGCCCACTCACCCTTCATCTTCTATCTCAGCCAGCATCCAATAAGCAGTGCCACACAGCCTCTTTCCTCGGCTTCAGCCCTATGCTTTCTGCCAAGAGCTCTCCGCCCTGCCCTAAACCTAACTGGGCAGGGATGGGGACGGTGATAGCTGCCGGCACCATACTGCGCCGTTATCACGCGTCAGGTGCCAGGCCGGACGACAATATGATAGCGGGTACATGCAGAATATGCAGGGCTTTGCGGCTTAGGGCGTGTGCGCTCTCGTTCCATACACACCACCAACCGACCAACCAACCTGCACTCCGCCGATTGTTGAATGTGCCTGTCAATCTTTTTCTTTTTTTCTGCTTTCCATGCGCGATTTTGCTGTCGGTGTCGGCCCACGTAGCATCCGGGCCGACTTCTCACCTCAGACGGTTAATGTCTAGGTGGGCTTGTCATGATGGCGGTGGGCTGCCTAAAGGCGGTGACGGAGCAGAGGCGGGTAGAAAGGGCGAGAGAAAAAAAGCTTGGGTGGACCCCGAATTGTGCAGGTTAATGTTGGTGCCTAGATGGCCATCTCACCTGCAGCATTGGCGGCTTGACGTTGGGTTTTCGGGCATCTCTTGTGTCACGTATGTCGCTTTTAACGTTACCTGCACAGTGAGTCGCGTGACGGGCGGGGAAAGATGCTAGGGGTGTTGTTTTGCATGCAACGATCTGTGGTCGATCGGGTGGGTTTTGGATGGTCACCAATGTAAATGGGAGGTGGGACAGGAAGAGGTGCAGACTTTTATTTGACCGTCCTGGCTGGGTGATCTTTTGCGGTCGCACAGCACGATAATAGGGCGTCTGATACACACGCGCCCCTTGCCATATGACAAAAGTCCTGCTCCACGACGACGTAAACGTTGCATCCGAGGGGAAACCCTCTAGGAAACTGCCCGGGCCTCGCGAAAGGAAGGTTCGGGGACTAGCCTCAGGTCCGGGACGGGGATTCTTCGGTGCGCCGCATTGGGCCGAGGGGCCGCTCAGACCGGACTCTTGTACCCGAGGCCTCAGCGTTGGTCGCAGTGGGTGAGTAAAAACTGGATTGGCAAGAATCGCAACATGGGAAAAAAACGGATCAACTCGGACAGGGACGGACCCCCCCCCCCCCGTGGCTGGACGCGTCGGAGGGACGAGGGTCCACGATCTACCCCGGGAACCGGGAAGAGCTTGACGTATGCGAAGGCCGCTTCCGGGAAAACGCGGCGTATAATCCGGCACCAAAAACCTCCTGTTCAGCTTCGGCAGCCGCCTTGACCTCTCCTCGTGATATGAGCAAAACCGGAATAGTCCAGGACTGGGGTCAGCGAAAAGGTCAGTGAGCGAGACAGGCCGTCTACACGAACGTGATACTCTCAGTCCCTTCACATCGCCCTCGCGGAACAAGTTGACAAAAACAGCCAACACGTTGGCGAATCTAGAATGATCACGTAAAACCCGTCTTGTAAACACTTTCTAGGTAGGATTACATTAGCATAAAATCCCACTGGTAGAAGCAGCGCTGGACATGGCCTCAGAGGATCGTGCCCCATAACTATGTGAGCAGAGTATAATCAAGGCTCTGGAAAGGGAGTTGGACTGGACAGAAAGGCATGCGTTATTATGATTTCGGTCGCTTCAGGCATAAAAATATCCTCAAGCGCCATCCATCTTCACGTCGGCCTCGTCTCCCTTGCGCATCAGGTACGCCATCATGACCCAGATCAGCTTCATGGCCGCGATGCGGTCGTCGGCGACGAAGAAGTCGAACCAGCGGCTGCGAAAGACCTCGAGCTTTCCCCAGCTCCTGCCGCTGCCGGCCTCCTCGGGCGCTCCTTCGAGCACCCGGAGCAGGCGCTGCGGAACGCGCACACGCAGTATGGACACGTGATGGAACACGGCACTGACGACGAATACGTCGTCGTAGTCGGCGGCCGGATCACGCCCTATGGCGCTGTACCGCACTTTCCTGTCCCAAGACGACGAGGGTGGCCGCACCATGCGGTAGTTGTCGTAGGTGGCCAGCGTTGTACGCCGAGACTTGGACCGCTGCCCGCGGGTCGAGAGCGACGGCACCGGGTGGTGGTGTGGGCTCTTACTCCCAGCCGCCGCCGATGAAGAGGCGAGCCCCTTTCTCTCTGGCACCTGCATGACATTGCTTGGGGTTGGTGCAAGGAGCGCCGTCGAGCTGGGTGGGTCATTCCCTTCAGCGGGCGTCGTGGGCGGCTTGGCAGACTCGGCGCCGATGCCAGCAGCGGTAGCAATCGGCTTCGTTACCACCGCAGAAGTGGCGCGGACGGGGATGGCGGTGCTGGTGAAGCTGGTACTGGTGGTGGTCGACGTAGCCGAATTCGAATCCACCTCGCGGCCGATGGGGCCTCCCTCGCCGCCGCCCCAACGCCGCCGCGTGGTCCACCAGGTACCCAGGCCCACGCGTCTTTCGGCTCGCCCCTCCCGCGCGCGGTGCTGAGCCGTCAACAGTGCTGCAACGATCTCTCGCGCCATATCCATGACGGACTCCTTGTCGCCGCTACCAGGGGGTGAGCCTGATTCATCTCGGGGGCTGAAGCTGGTAGTGTGCCGCGCCGAAACAGCAGCGAGCGGGCCCTCGACGATTCCGGCTCGAGCCGCCTCGCGCGTGGTTGGAGTGCGAAGGACAAATTGGCAGGCCGAGTTGAAGTAGCTGCTCCGACCAGTAAGAGCGGGGGCCGTGGTGGAGCTCGCGTCCGGGGCGGCGGCATGCGGGGGGCCGGGCTCGCTCGGGCTGCTCGAGGCCGTCGTTGCGGACCCTGGCGCGGTTGCAGACGCCTCCCCGGGCGCCGGGGCGGGGATTGTGGGCAGGTTAAGATACAGCCGGGGCTCGACTCTCGAACCGGCCACGTTACAGCCAAAGTCGTAAGCGACCAACTTTATAAAAGCACTCAAAAGGTTCACGCGGATCTCAGGGGGCATCGAAGATCCAGCACCAGTGCGACCGTACCCAGCCCCGGGCTTGACGGCGTTTCCGCCAGAACCATCAGGGTCGTCACGGTTGGCCACCTCAGATTCAGATTCAGGCGGGGCCGATGTGTCGTCCCAGAAGGTAGAGCAGGACTCGAGGAGACGGAAGAACTCGTATGAGTTCCCCAAACGGACTTGGGGCTGGCCTGGGGCGTGATGCACGCGCCGTACTGTCATGAAGGCGGCCTCGTTGGCGGTGCTCAACTCCTTGATTCGCTCATGGTAGGCCTGGACACCTGGGGACATGTTACCATTGTTGAGGCGCACCCTTGTAGACTGGTTCGAATCACAAGCCTGCGTAAAAGACAGCTCATCCCAGGCCGCGAAATCGGGAACGACAGCCGGGTCCGGGATGAGGACGTCGATTTCGGCGTCGGGAGTCACGTGGACGCCCAGGGCTTTGAAATGCCTGTCAGTCACCTCGGCCGGGCGGATGACGGTCTGAAGCAGTGCCGTCAGGGATGTTTGGGCGCCGTCGCCGCCATCATCGTCAGCCACGTGGGGACAGTAGCTGGGGAGGTTGACTGGCGTGGGAGGCGGAATATCCTGGGGCTGCTTCGGAGGCGGCGCGGCATGAGCTTGGGAGCCGTGTTGGCGTCAGCAACAAGATGCGAGGCACAACAGCCGGGCCGGCGAGGATCCGGGACATGGTGGGCAAAGGAAGCACGCAAGAAGACGGCCGGGGTCGATCAGACAGGAAAGCTGGAGCCGGCCGGAGAGTAAGGGCCAATCATGTTGGGGTAGCAGCTAGCCAACCAGGAAGATGTGCAGATGGATGGCTTGACAGGGTGGACAGATGGCACCGATCTGTGGACAACGATACAGGCAGTCAGGTGCTCGTTCCGTTGGCACGTTTGCTGCCACTTGGCTTGGCTGAAACGGGCTCAATGGAGACAACAACTCGAAGTCGGGCCATGATGGAATGAAGTCGAGAATGGTGTGCATTGGAACGTGCGTGAGTGTGTGCGTGTGTGCGTGCGTCGTGCCGATGCTACCAACGCGTCCGTGCTCTTGACTGCTCTCGATGGATGGATGGATGGATGGATGGATGGCCTGGCACTCGGACTGTTGGGACTGAACTGGGACAGGAAGGAACTGGAACTGGAACCGGGACTGGAACTGCATCTGGGACGGACTAGGCGTACACCAGGACCAAAAGGACAGCAAAACTCACCAAAGCCGTAGCCCAGGTACCCGCCAAACATGGTGGCAGGGGAAGTAGAGCCGACGAGGTGTTTGAGGCCACCACCAAGCGGGAGAGGCCGTGTCCGGGCGACAGGCGGGGTTGAGTTTATTGATTGAGAGGCGGTGATGGAGGGAGAGGGAGGGTGTCGAGTTGTGTTGGGTTAGTTGATGTGGCAGCAGCGAAATGGAACCTGTTCAAGCTCCAGCTGTTGTGGTGCAGCAGGCAGTCGATTGGCGCAGCTCTGCTAACTGTCTGGGTAAGTGCCAACGGCTCCAACTGCAGCGTACCGAACCGTGCCTTCCCTTTCCGCGTCCCGTTCGATGGCGTTGGGGAGATGGAGCTTAACGGGCACGACCGGGTCCGGGCAGCAATAAAGCAGCAATTGAGGCAGCCTAACCGGTGGGATCGAGGGAACGTTGTCTACTGTGGAGCCGGTGCTTTGGGCCAAACTCAAAAGCAGCGTCATGCGGCTGCTGTTGCTGTTCCTCACAGAGTGACCATCTTTGATCCGACCCGGCCTGGCCCACTTTGGAAAGCACTTGCTGAACCCAAACCCGCCGACTTGACATGGATTGGTAACATCTGGATTTCACACAGGCGTCACACATATCCACACACAAACACACGTCTGATTGCGTTCACAACTCCCTCTCCTCTCATCCTCCCTCTCTCCCCCTTTCCTCCCTCCCCGAGGGCCCCGAGTGGGCGCTGCCCGCCAAAGAGGCATAAATGTCTCGCGTCAGTGCTGCCCATGTCTTTCTCTCTTCCCTGTTTTCCCGCAACAAAAAAAGAAGACGATCCGCTCCGGCTCGGCTCCCTATTTTGGGGCACTGACTGCCATTGGCACCCGTTCTTCGTCGATCGGTCCTTTGAGCGGGGACAAGAAGCGAGCATCGCGATGTAACAGTCGACGGCCTACCCCTGGCCCAGGCTGTGCTGGCCCCAGCTCGGCGCGATTCGACCTTGGGGAAAAAACCCGAGGGTCGATAGGCCCATTGCCCCATACCAAGCAACACCATTTTTGGTGTCGCTCACGATCGGGATTTACCCGTGTTTGACACTGGCGGACCCTCGCACGTGCTCCCTGCCTCTCGGTCGTGCGCGGCGCGCGTGGCAGGCAGCAAACATCCCCCCAACAAGAGAGCGTGAGAAACGACGGCACCATGCTACCAGGTGCCAGCGTGCCAGTTCACGAGTCTGCCAGTCCGCCGGTCCCAGGGGCCCGGTGACACCGACTCGAGCCTCTGCGCCCTTTTGCCTCCTTGGGCCAAGCCACACGCCCCGCTTTGATCAGTTCTCCATTAAATGCTATCTTTGGACTGCGTAACCCTCCCGGACCCGGACCCCACGCTGAGCAGGCGGCGATCGGCCGGTTAGCCAGGGAATAGAGTCAGCACTCGGAAGCTGCGATCTAATCAAGGGAGAAAAGGAGAGGGGAGGGCAAAGACGGACTGGACAGGACACGCTAGCCAACTGGAGCCAAACACCCAATGACCGCTGCCTCTGGCTACCGCTGTCGGGTAGAATTTGATGCTCACGATCCCATGTTCTGGCAATCTGGTCAGACTCCACGTGTGTTTCTCCAGGAAACAGCGAGTGGGACCGACCAAAGTTCTGCCAACACGCCACGCCAATCGGAGCCTTGGGAGCAAAAGTCCTTCTAGAATGTGGTTCCTCCCATCCAAAAATCATCCGTCTCAAGGAGAAGGATCCGACAAGGAGCTGATCAGGAATATAGCGCAGCCAGAGGACCGTGCAGATAGGCGCGGGCACGTATAGGTACGTCGCATTGAGCATCACCTGCATGCCGCTGCGTGCATACTGTAAGATGTGGATTTCATCTGGCTTATCGCAACTGGCGGTGCATGTTGCTGCTGCACTGTCGCCAAGTTGTGCGCAAGTTTCCCAAGGCTTGACATGATAATGGCTTCGTGATGTGGGATCTATATCGCGCGGAGGCATTGCGGAAGGGGAGTCGGACGCTTGACCCTTTTCCTGATTGGACGGGGGAGGAGAAACATGGAACGAGTGCAACCCGGCCTCCGCCGCGGCCGATAGGAAAATACGTACTTGTGGGCAGAGCCTGAGCAGGGAGCTACACGCAAGGATTATCTTCCTGCCACGGCAAGCCAGGCCTGCACGGCAGAACTCAAGCTGCGAAGAAATCGGGGCCACAGTTTATGCCGACCGCTTGTCCTATGACCACCCGTCTCGATCTTGGCAAACCCAGAAACGGCGCAAGATTGACCGAATGGAGATGCCGTCAGACACTCGGACACGTTGCACAACGGCTTGTCAGTTGGTAGGGCCCATGGACACATCGCAGCAGGCCAGAATCTTGAGAAGGCACACGCCGCGGCTGCAGCAAGCCAAACATGGATCCAAAACATGCGTCATGAAGCTGAGGTGCGGGCAGGCAGTGCAGGCAGTGCAGGCTGCTGGCACGGGAGGGGAGGTTGCGTCACCCTGGTCTGCTTGATGGGATGGCCCGCTAGAAGGTTGAGGAAGGGCGGCACGCGTCGCCACTCAGTCCGATGTGTGAGCTCCGTGACCGGCATGCTCTTGGGAGCCATCCTGTCAATCACCTTGCGTACGTCTCAAAGATATTGTGGCGGCGATTCGACGGGGCGGGGTGCTTGGCGGGAGGACTTCTTTTATTGGGATGCCGACGGGTTGCAGCCGACGACTAGCCGACCGCTAGCGAGCGAGGCCAGTGACAGTAATAGGATAGGGGGGACCAAGGGAGGGTAAAGTTGGGGTAAGGGCGAGGCCGTGGCGAGTAGATGGTAGCAGTGTGTTGTTTACGGTGGATTGATATGTGGCCACACTGAATATCAAAAGAGGTATCTATTGTTCAATATCGGCCCGCCTTTGGATTCACGGATATCGTCGCAAAGACGTCGCGATTGGCCAACATGAGGGCTCAAGTCACCAAAGAGGCGGAAGACATGCACACACTCACACACACACCCACACACCCACACCTCTCAGCCCGGCAAAGGCAGCAAATGGACTGGTCCAACGGCTGGCCAGGGGTTGCCGGTTGGGAAGTCGTGCCTCAGATTTGTCGCAGAACATGGGCGGCCGGCGCCCGGGAGCCCACGCCCCACCCGAGGGCATGGGTTGGCGGCCCAGTTGGGAAGGCAGTGGGGTCGCACATCGCCTCAGATGCGGCTCCCCAACCGCGCTACTGCACAGGCCGGCCCCACTCCAGGCCCCACACAGGCCCCACGAGGACCCCAGAAGTTGCCCAGGAGAGCGGGGGCTCTGCTGGTATCCCGACGTGCTGTGAGGGATGGCCACCTTGGCGTGGCCGGCAGCCAATCATGGCAGCCACAGCCTCCCATCAAACAACGATCAAGCCCCTCCACCACGCTGCTCAGTCTCAATGCCCGTGCTCCACCACAAGACACACCCACAAGACACCCTCGCCGCCCGGGGGCCCCTGGCCGAGGGGCCCCCTGGCCGTCGACGGTTGAAGACGCTGAGAGCAGCCCGTCGGGACCTGCCAACTTGGTCGGGGCCTGCCGCTGCCCGCCCTTCCACCCCTACCGCTCCTCGCCCTCCCACATCCATCTCCCTCCATCTCCCTTCCCGCTCCTGCGGGTTCGCGATCTCGTCCTCGTTCTTCCGCATCAAACTCGCCCTTCCCTTCTTGCGCGGCTAAAGGCAGCGAGAAACATTGCCTGTTTGCCATCTCCCTCGCATCCCATTCATGGTCTCGATATGACTTGACCGGCCCCAGAGGCCCCCTTTTTTTTTTTCCTTTCATTCTCTTCTCCCTCTTCTGGCAAGCCCTCTCGCGCAGTTTTTATTTCCTCGCGCAACCTTTCGTTTCCAACAAGGCGACTGGAATCGCCAGAACCAAGCAACACTTTTCTCTTCAGCGCGCGGCGCCTGAAGACCCGACCGACATAGACGACCGAAACACTCGATTCGATTCTACCGGGCACTCGACCGAAAGCGCTGGGCCGAACACACACGAACCCCGCTAGTCCGCAAGCCGGCTCCCGGACGGCCGCCCGGCCAACATGTCCAACGCAAATCTCCCGGCGGGGGCTTTCTTCACCCAGATCAACGGCAAGAGGTGTACCGCCATCCCCAGGAACGCTGGCGGCGGAGGGAACAACGGTGGTGGGAACAACAACAATGGAGGTGGAAACAACAACAACAACAACGGCGGCGGCGGCAACGGTGGGCAAACGCAGCAGACGAGGACCACCGCGCCGCCGGCCAGGAACACGAGTGTAGCACCGCCGCAGCAGACATCCAGTACGACGGCACCAGCACCAGCACCAGCACCACCACCACCACCCCTTCAGCAGCAACAGCCGCCTCCCCCAGCCCAGACCTCCTCGAGCCCATTACCACCACCTGCACAAATAACACCCCCCGCGGCGCAGCCCGCACCATCATCTCCTGCTCCCTCTCCTTCTTCACCCGCCCCGGTAGCCTCCTCACCCGCTCCGCCGCTGGTACCGCCAGTCGTGATCCCAACGCCAGCAGCCTCCGCGGCGCCCATGTCTAAGGTGCAGAACGGAGGCGCCGGAGGGATCAGTTCTGCTGCGCCTAGCGATGGGGCCGGGGTTGGCGCTACGTCGCAGAACGTTCCTCCTCCGCAGGCGGCGCCGCCACCGTCGCCGTCTGCTGGCACACCGATAGCCAGCTTTTCGGTTACTCCCGAGAACCAGACAGCTGCGCCGGCCCCGTCGGCCCGGCCTATCGTGTCTAGCATAGCTGCTGATGATCTGCAACCCTCCACAGCCGCCACGGCTCCCCCTCCCCCGGCCGACGACCCAAGACCGTCGGCCAGCTCGCCCCTCTCGGCCACGCCGGCGAGGACAGGGGCGCCCAACATAACGCCCCCTGCGGCGGACAACTCCCCTGCGAGGAATTTTCCCCTAATGACGACCATCGGCACCGCGAACCCGACCGATGTCCCCGCGGCCGGTGGCAGCGCCGCGACTGACGACCCGCAGGTCCAGCCCGTTGCGCAGGAGAGCGGGGGCGTCAGCACCACGACCATCGCCGTGGCGGGCGGCGTCGCGGGCAGTGTGCTGCTCCTCGCCCTGATCGCGTTCCTGATTTGGTTCCTCAGGAAGAGGAAGCTGAGGAAGCGCCGGAGCACGCTACTGACCCCACTCTCACCTCCTATAAATAACGGCAGGTTCCCGTCCGAGAAGGCCGCGTCGGCCTACATCATAAACCGCGGCAGCATCGGGCCAACGCCCCGTTCCGAGAAGCTCAAGGCCTCGCTGGGATACGGATTCGCCAAGGTGAAGGGGCGCGTCGGGGAGGCCCTGTCGTCCCGCAACGCCGGGGGCTCCTCGGGCGGCGTCAACATGAACCGCGGCAACTCGCAGTTCATGGAGAGCGCCGCCGCCGTCCCCTCGCGCTCCGACAGCATGGCATCCAAGGGCCCAAGCGGGGGCAACGGCGGCTGGCTCGGTGGCGTGGCCGCCGGCTGGCGCAAGAACCGCGAGGCCGACAGGGACGCGAACGACCCGTTCCGCGACGTGCAGGAGCGCAAGGCCCCCATGACGACAGCCAATAATAACGGCGCCCAGCCCGACTTCCTGACGCTTCTGGGCATGGACGACCGCCAACTCGAGCGCGAGGCGCAGCGAAAGCGCGCCAGCCGCAACGGCAGCGCCTCGTCGGGCGATCACTTCCTCGGCACGCTCGGCCTGAGCTTCACGAACAGCAACGGCGGCAAGGATGACCCCTTCAGCGATGCCAACGCGCTGCAGCACCAGAGCGCCAAGCCGCCGCCGCTGCAAGTCACGACCAGCGGCCCGGGCATGAACCCCTTCTCGGACGCCAACGCCATCCGGCCGCCCGCAGTGGCCAAGCCGTCGACCTATGTGTCAGACGTGAGGAGGTCTCGGGGTCCGTCCGTGTCCGCCGAGGGAGCCGCTGCTGCGGCCGGCAGCTCAAACGCCTACACCCGGGCTGCCGACAGCTACTACAACCGGGAGTCGGCCAGCAGCATGGACAGCTTCCAAACGCGACGCAACAAGTTTCGATCGGACCCCTTCGACCTGGAGCGGCCCGAGCTTCTCGGCCGGGTGACCAGCAGCAACCTCAGCACGGCGGGCAGCAGCGACCTGCCCCGGCTCAGCGGCACGACCAACAATAGCGGCGTCGGCGGAATCCAGAAGCCCGAGGCGGCACGCCAGCGGGCGAGGAGCAGCGCCGCGTCGTCAAAGTACTCGAGCGGCGTCAGTAGCCTCGGCGACTGGAGCGACCCCGGGCCGGACGTCGGCCCGGCCGCCAACAACAACAACCGGTACGAGCCCGTCAGCCCAACCGAGAGGGGCGAGAGCCCGACCCGCGGCCTCGGCGGAAGTCACGTGCCGCAGCAGGCGTCGAGGAGCGGGAGCATCAAGAGCGCCGGTGTCGGGAAGGCGCTATGATAATGGAGTAGGACATGTGTTGTTGGCCTGGCCCAAAGACAAAAAAGAAAAGTGGTGTGATGAGATCAAGCAACCCCTCCCTATCTGTTTTTTTTTTTTTTTTCGTGGTTTTGGATAATCACATGCTTTGTACGAATACGATGATTTTTTTTCTGTTCCTCATGGAAGATGTATTTCCCAACTTCGGGTGGAAGAGCGCACCATACCCCATTTCTTTTTTGACGCAGCTCTCGCTCATTTATTTACACAAACCCCCACCGTGTTGCACAACATGGGTGGCAACCTCAATCTCTTCAATTTCTAGAACACACACACACACACACACACACACACACACTCACACACACCCAACCCAACAAGAGGCATCTTGTTGCTTTCTATTCTTTAGTGTCTTGGGTGGCTGGCGGGTTGCAGGGGGGCGGGAATGAGGACAGGAAAATACACACGCGCGCGCTCGCAGACACAAACAGCAGCACAAAATGGCGAAGGTGGCGTTTTTTTTCTTCTTGATTTTGGGTGGCCGTCAAGTCACCCCTTTTGCCGTTTGGGTTGCTCACAAGCGAAAAGACGTCGATTCCAATTTTTTTGCCATGTTACAATAACTGTTGCTGCGTCTGTTGCTCGTTGTCCTTTTTGGTACAAGAGTTTCCCGTGCTCCGTTTCTGGTTGGAACAATGTCGTTTTGGTTCCCAGCACTCGGCACTATTACGGGGAGTTTACGGGGCGGCCGGGAGTTTCTATAATCGGCGGAAGCGGGATTTCATCCTTCCATTCTTGGGGCCGGTGGTAGCTTGTCTGTTCATGTACATGGGCGGCACATATCCTCGACGACGGATCTCCGTTCGCTTTCGCCTGCAGGGGGAGATGTGGCCGTAATGGAATCTACAGAACCTTTTTTTTTCTCCTTCAAGCACCGAGGCATCCAATGCTTGAAAAAACAAAAAAAAAAACATGCAAGACAGCTCCCGAAGTTTTGCCCTACCCACCTAGCCCTGCTGCCTCTCATCACCAGGATCGCCTGCCCGGCAACGTCGAGCAGCGAGAGATCGGATCGGATCAGACCAAACGCCATATCAGGGCTCGTCGGCAAGGCGGGCCGTGCTCGAGTCCGCTCCTCCCCCATTCATGGGCAATGCAGAAACATGCGCCGGCCCAGAGAGTGCGAGGAGGA